CCTAGCAACTCTGGAGGCTGAGACAGGAGGATTGCAAGTTTAACTTAGCAACTTAGTTAAGCCCTAACTATGATACCCTGTCTCAAAAAATAAAAAGGGCTATAGAGATGTAGCTCAGTGACAAAATGCCCCTTGGTTCAATCCCCAGTACCCCCCTCCACAAAAAAAACTATAAATTTATATAAATGGATATAAAAAGATGTAATTTGGGACATCAATGACAAAATGGGGAAAGGAAGAGATGTAAAGGAGTTTGTGTATGCCATTGAAGTTAAGTTACTATCAGTTTTACTTAGATTATAATAACAAAGATGTTTCCTGTAAAAATTGTGTATGGGTTAAATTCCATCTTAAACTGCTTGAGTCCCAAAGGCAATCACATCATGACCATCATCCAGTAAAAAGTATCCCACTACTAAAAGCAAGGATATAACTAAAAAGTACTTTCTATTATGGAACTCTTGACCATATTTAGAAAATTTCCATCAATACATGTATATTGAGCTCTGGGGATGTGGTTTGGAAATAGAGTGCTTGCCTAACACGCATAAGGCCCTGAGCTTGATCACCAGCAGCGCGCGCGCGCGCACACACACACACACACGGTATATACTTATATACTCGGTATATAAGTATATACCGAGTGCCTGCGTGAGTTAGGCATTGGACTAGGCACTGGAGTACTGACAAGTAAAATAGCATTGTTGCTCTTATATCATTTCAAGAGAAGAGACACACATGAATGCATTTTTACTCAAATTTATTTTACAGTGTAATTTTTAATTTCAATACGGGCAATTTTTTTTTAAGAGAGAATGTTAATTTTCGGCAGACACAACATCTTTGTACATGGTGCTGAGGATGGATCTCGGGCCGCACGCATGCCAGGCGAGCGCGCTACCGCTTGAGCCACATCCCCAGCCCCTCAATATGGGCAATTTTAAGAGGTCCAAAACATCTGTTCAAAAACATGACTAGAAAAATCTTAATAGTTATAAACAAGCACTTTTCTCTTAAGAAAATGATGAAGAACTAAAGCTTTCTCAAATCCCAGCTTTCTCAAGGACTACTGACATCTTTCACTCTGGAAAATTTATTGCAAACAGATACGTGTTTCATTCATTTTTCAAAGCATCACTGAAGAAGGATGGAAGCCTACGACTTGTATTGCCAGTATGAGACAAGGTGTGAGATGTTGATGGTTCCCTGATGGCTACTGAGACAGACCATAAACTGACACAGTGGGGACATCAGGATAGAACATTTTTTCCATACACAAAATTCCCATGCTACCCCTTTTTTTTTTTTTTTTTTTGAGGCTGGGTGTTGCTTGCTATGTTTCCCAGGCTGCCCTGGGGATCCTCTCCTGCTTCAACCTCTCAAGTAGCTAGGAAAACAGGTCTGCACCATGCCTGGTGTCCATACTACTTTTAAAAGAAAGATATAAGTGAAAAGTTGATAATCAGGGATTATTGTTTTTAAACAGATATGATCAGGAATTTCCATAGGTATCGGGGCCATGTATTAAACTACAAAAATCAAGTCAGATGGTCTGAGAACATAAACACTGACAAGAACAAAAGTAAATCTTTGAAAATTTAAGATTTCTCCTCTGCAAAAGGTCAACAGAGTTAGACAGATATTATATATGTTTGATACCTCAATTAAAGTGCTGCAGGATAGTGATTCTGACAGTTATAGTAATTTTCATGGTGCTCCAGGAAGTTTTTATTTAATCAGTACAACAACCTTATGAATTAGGTGCCATTATTACTCCTACTTTACACATAAGAATAAAAATTTCAGAGACAAAGTCAATTATCCCAAGTCACACCACTATAAGCAGCTGAGATGGGATTTGAAGACAAACAGGCAGGTCTACAGTCTGTACTCCTCATGTACTCACTAATTTGTCCCTGCTGACCTCAAACTCGAGGTCCTTCGCCTCCGCCTCCCTGGAGTAGGTAGGATTACAGGCATATGACACTGCACCCAGCTCATCTGTACTTTCTTTCTTTCTTTTTTTTTTTTGGTTCTGGGGATTGAACCCAAGGACACTCAACCACTGAGCCACATCCCCAATCCTTTTTATATTTTATTTAGAGACAGAGTCTCACTAAGTTGCTGAGGCTGGTTTTGAACTCTTGGTCCTCCTGCCTCAGCCTCCTGAGCTGGTGGGATTATATGCATGTGTCACAGCACCTAGCCCATCTATACTTTTAAATTCTATGTCATAGTGCCTTTCATAAATAGGATGAGATATAAGAAGTTCCTAAAATGCCTACTGAATCACCTGAAAGCATATGCTTACATCACATTAATGTCAAGTATGTTTTATTCGATTCAAAGAAAAACTGGGTCATCCATATCTAGTACTTTCCAGTCAAGTCCCCATTCCCCAACCACTCTGCAATATGAGTTTTTCTCACAACTTCTTTGTACTTTCATGTCACTTTCACATATGCCTGTGTGTTCCACATGCTCTGGGTCATTCCAGAGAGAAAGAATGAAATTGAGCAAAAAGAAAAAGACATTTTTAGGAAGACAAAAACAAAGTAAGTTCCACTTGCTATTATAAACACCAGAATATAGAATATTAAATGATGATTCGCTGAAGAGTTACGAAAATGAAGTCTACCATTTTTCTTAACCAAACAAAAATTTCCAGTTTATGCTTTTTAAGAGAATTTCTCTCACCTTCTTTTTGGCTCCTCCTTAGGATCTCAAAGATGCCAATTCAAAATGTTTCTTCAAAATAATACCGCTGACAATGAGTTTACTCATTCCTTAGTGCAATTTTACAAAAATCAAAACAAATAGCCCAAATGATTTAGCCCCAGATGCATTTTCATGTACTTACGGTGCTCTTGTTGGTGATACCATAGAAAAAGAATATAGCAGGGAACCAGATGATCGGCCAGAGCTGTCTACTAACTCACGCGGAAGTGCACTGGCTCGTCCAGTGGGCGTTCATGCATCTGCATCTTTACACAGTGAGAATTCTTCATCCCCTTTGGGTTCAGGAAATAGAGTGAAGACTCGATTATGAGATGACTGCCACTTGGGTGGAAGAGGTCTTCTCAAATCAAATGTCTTTTCCTTGAGGGAAAACCCAACTTCTTTAGATACATTTTCTTGGCATTTAAGTGCAGTTAGGCGCTTCATTTCATACTCCCTTTCAAGTTTGAGGGCTAAAAGAAGAAAATACATGAGACAATCTGACTGGCATTTTTCAACAGGCATAATTTAGTCAAAACAATATCATAAAGTTATGTTGATAGATTCTCATTGTTGAATAATTAGAAATATGGCAAGGATAAATGCTCTCTCTGATAAGTGGATACTGATCCATAATAGTGGGGGTGCATAAGAAAAATGGAGAAATTTTGATTGGGCAAAGGGGCAGGGGGACAGAAAAGATGGTGGAATGAGGTGGACATCATTACCCTAGGAACGTGTATGACTGCACATATGATGTGAAGCTACATTGTGTACAACCAGAGAAATGAAAAGTTGTGCTGCAATTGTGTACGATAAATAAAAATGCATTCTTCCATCACATATATCTAATTAGAATTAATTAATTAATTAAAAAAAGAAATATGGCAAGGGTACAAAGATGGGAAGTACGGAAAAAAAGGAGCTATGGTGGAGGCATAAGGAAAATAGGAGGTCTGGGTATGCATACACATATTTAAACATTTCTCTGATAATAAGCAACTGATACAATTATAATTTACTAAAGCAAATCTTAAGAAACTTACCTTCTGCTGAAGGGAGTAGACCTTTCTTGGTTTTGCATTTTTTTAGTTGTATAGGACGACCCAGTGTAATTTCTTCCAAGAAAGGTAATCTGAGGTCAGCTAAATTCTGGTACCAAGTCCTTGTAAGCACTGCAAGATCCCAAGGTTCCTGTCTGGGGCAAAAATTAAGTAATTCATTTAAGAAACACTTAAAGAACACATACTTTATGGAGTACAGAAGACATCTTGGTAGCTCTCCAGTTCTATGTGCCACATTTGGATTTCCATGGGGGTATAGAGGATTTTCCAGCCTGGAAAAGAAGCCTTATGTTGAAAAATGACCAGAAATTACAATTTCAGGAATTTTGTTTACAGTGCACCATCCCTGGAGTCAATCCAATCTCTCAATATAAGTGAATGTAGATAAGAACTGTGAGCTCCAAAGTCTTCAATGCCTAATTAAAATATTGCCAGATTAGGGAAGTAAAGAAGAGCATGGTCATGCATTGAGTAAGGAATATGGCATACTCTAAGGTTTTAGGTGTGTAATCTGGGGAAGAATGAAACTTCAAACTACAACATTAAAAATAATCACTATGAGCTGGGCATGGTGGTGCATGTCTGTAATCCCAGCAACTCAAGAGGTTGAGGCTTAAGAATCTCAAGTTCAAGGCCACTTCAGCAACTTTAGTGGGACCCATCTCAAAATAAAATATAAAAAAGGACTGGGGATGTAGTTCAGTGATAAAGTACCCCAAGGTTCAATCCCCAGTACAAAAAAATAATAATGCATGAACCCTAAATAAATTATTTTATCTAGCTTAATACTGAAGTTAAAAAAAAATGTTACATGCTTCTCACTGCAGTCTAAGTGGGTTCCACCTCACATGCATGGAGAAATAGAAAGACTTGCTTGGAGCTGAGTAGTGGAAGCCACAGTGTTACACACCTGTTTTAGTGAGTTTTGGAACCTCTCTGACCAAAATACCTGACAAGAATAATTTTAGGGGAGGAAAAGTTTATTTGGGGCTCACAGTTTCAGAGGTCTCAGTCCATAAACAGCCACTCCATTGCTCTGGGCCTAAGATGAGGCAGAACATCAGGAAAGAAAGATGTGGAGAAGAAGAACAGCTCAGAAGAGGGGACCAGGAAACGGAGAGATTGCTCTGCTCACCAGAGACCAAATATCTAGCCCAAAGTCAGCCCCAAACCCAACTCCTCTGGCCATAGCCTACCTGTCTAGTAGGTAGTTACCACCTAGTTAATCCATTCAAATGGGTGTAAGGCTCTCAAAACCCAATTAATTCATCTCTAAACTTCCTTGCTTTGTTTTATACATGAGCTCTTGGGGGACACCTCATATCTTAAAACCATAGTACCACCTAACTCAGCAAAATGTAATTTTAAGTTTTCTCTAATTTTCCTACTGCTCTGGTTTTATAACCCTTTAGGAAATCCCATTTACTTCTTACGATATTAACAAGAAAAATTCACTTGACTCTAATAATAAATATGTCATAAGCTGTGGCACAGGGGATAACTAAACATATCCAAATAATATTTAATAGAATAGGCAGCACTATAACACCAGAGTAAAATACTGTTAGTTAGCAGCACGTGTTCATTATATGTTCTCTATATTCCAGGCAACCTGCAAGTTCTTGACATGCATTACTTCATTCATAATCCATACCACATAGATAGGCATTTTACAGATGTGGAGTCAAGGCCAAGGCCCAGAGAAGATTTTCAAAGGGAGTCAGAACCCAAGTCCTCTTTTTTTTTTTTTTTTTTTTTTTTCAGTACTGCAATGCTAGGGATTAAACCCAGGGCTTCATGCATACTAGGTAAGTTATCTACTACTGAGATACTAAGTTACATTCCCATCCACACCCCATTTTCTTTTTCTTTTCTTTCTTTTTTTGTTTGTTTGCTTATTTATTTTGTTTTGTTTTGTTTTGTTTTGTGAAAGGGTCTCTTTATTCACCTAGATCGCTGTTGAACTTTCAATTCTCCTGCCTCAGCCTACCCAGTTGCAGGAATTACAGCTCCCAGGTCTTTTGCTCCACCATACCCAGATTCTAGGTCTTGTTTTGCAAAGTAGTAGGTTCTTTCAGTTCCTGCAAAGCATAAAGACGCTGAACTGACACTTTATGCCAACACTTTGTGCTCTAAGGTAACATCTGGCACCAGGATGTTTTTAAGTAAATTTGAACTCTCTAAAAATATTCCAAATATTCTCTTTTTGGAATAAGAAGCCTCAGATCACTAGCCTGGTACTGCGATCTCAAAGATCAATAATTTGATCAAACTTCTTGAAACCTACATTTTTTCATTTGTGTTACTTTGGTGTAAAGAGCAAGTAAGATCATTTATATATTCTTATAAAAGCAGTTGCTTTTAAAAAACAAAATTAGCACCATACACTGGATAATACCTCCTATAGTCCAGTATCACATGAGGAATACAGGGGTATCCAGTATCTTTATTTTAACAAAGACTCCCCACCCCAATGGCTGCTTACTGTGATTAAAATACTTACACTTTATAACAACTGCACTGCAAAATGGTCTTCACTGTGTTCTTTCTTGGTAAGCCATAAGCCATGATGGTTCACAGTCCAATTTCCTTACATAGGTGCCTGATGTAATGTCACAGGTGTTCTGTTCACCTTGCCTGAAGATTGCAACATACATAATTAATGGCTTTCACTTGAATTTTTTTCCTCTGTGTTGGGGATGGAACTCAGGGTCTTCTGCATGCTAAGCAAGAGCTCTATCACTATGCTACTCCTCAGCTCTCACTTGAATATTTTTATAGAAAACTAATAAAGATTTAGAGAAAGTATTTCTAAATTCAGAAGGGCCTTTTAAAAAAACAGTTCATTGAACCTAAACCTGGACTGTAAAACTTTTATTCTATTATTTCATTTTATCAATTCTTTTTTTTTTTTTTTTGGTATTGGAGCTTGAACTCAGGGGACCAGGGGATCTTAACCATTAAGCAATATGCCCAGCCCTTTTATTTATTGGGGAGATGGGGGGCAGGTACCAGGGATTGAACTCAGGGGCACTCGACTACTGAGCCACATCCCTACCCCTATTGTGTATTTTATTTAGAGAAAGGGTCTCACTGAGTTGCTTAGCACCCCGCTGTTGTTGAGGCTGGCTTTGAACTCGAAATCCTCATAGCCGCTGTCCCAGCCTTTTTATTTCTTATTTTGCCACGGGGTCTAGCTAACTTGCTTGGGGCCTCACTAAATTGCAGAGGCTGGTATCAGCCTCCGGAATTGGTGGGATTACAGGCGTTAGGCGCCACCGAGGCAGGCTCTTGCCTCCACTTTAGGGGAAAATACCAGGCAAGATTTGCCCTCCTGAATGGAGGTTTCTTTAACTGCATCAGTGTTTGTTATGGCATTTTGTCATTGCATACCAAAACAAAGCATCACACAATGTGTGTGCTTATAGCAGTACTAAACCATAAATAGCTCTCCTGGCACAGAAACTTATTGCCATCAGCCCGAGACCTTCAAACTAATCAAAAAAATCAGAATTTAAACCAGGTGATGGAAAGTCTATAATTGAAAACGAGCTATAATTGAAAACCAGGCCAAGGCTGGAGATTCCAGACCACCCTGGACAATTCAGAGACCCTATCTCAAGATTAAAACATCAAAGGGGCTGGGAGGTAGCTCAGTTGTACAGCCATTGCTCCGCATGCTCTGTCAATCCCCAGCACCGCAACCGAACAAAAGTCTGAAATTAAAATGTGGCCAACTCTGAGCATCATTGCTGGGTCCCGCCCTCGCACACGGATTCTGGCAAGTCTCCTTCCCTTCCCTGGACTTGCAGTTCCTGGTAGGAACCGGTTCCCGGGAGAGGTGGAGGCCCCTGCAGCCGCGGGGCGGGAACCTGGAGGCGAGAGACTGGCTGGACCTCGCATCTTCCCACGCCCGAGCTCCACCCTTCCTCCGCCTCGCCGCAAAAGCTCCGCGGGCGCGGCAAGGCGGTGGGGCGCGGGGCGGGTCCACGGCACCTCGGGGCCCGATCCCCGCGAGCGGGATTCGGCGGCCTCGTTACCCGGGCTCGAGGGTCTCCGCGGTCGCGCTCCCCCGCGGACCGAGGCCGAGCGCGCGCGGGCTAGGCGCACATGGCCGCGCAAAACGCCGCGGGCCCGCGCCGCGGGCACACGACTCCTTTCCTGATCGCCGGCTCCAGCTGCGGATGGCTACCGGGGCCGAGGCAGGGCGACCCTGCGTCACGCGGAAACCTCAATAAAGGGCTTTATGGTGCCCGCCCCGCCCCCGGGGTTGGCTCTGGCGGGGCCCTCGGGTTACCGCGCCGAAATGGGGCTCAGGCTCCACCGAACAAAACCGAGCTGGATCTTTCCTTGAAAACGACACTTTCCAACGTCAGTGGGTGTACCCAACTGATTTGGTGTTGGGGCTTACATTGCGGGCACCAGTGAGGGGGAAATTTGTACCTAGTTCAGACATGTTCACTGTGGGCAATCGTCACCTTGATGATAATAGTTCACACGCTCTAGTGGATAAAGGTAGTTTTATGCGCTAGAACTCCGAGGTTTACGTGGGATCTTTCATGTTCCTGTTAAATAAAAGTCGACAGGATCAGTAAAGTCATTAAAAATTAGTCATTAGTTGGTATGAGTCCATATTTTAATACATCAGATCGTCAGCAAATAAGGTCACGTGAAAATAGCTTACACTGTCATTCTGCATGAGGGTTTTGGAGGGAGAGCTGGGTTGGAATTCGAGCTCTGCCGGTTGCTAACTTTAAGATTTTGTAAAAGTCACTCCTCTAAGTCTCAATTTTTTTCACCTACTAAAAGGGGATTCTACTCCATACCTTAGGGGGTTGTTGTGAGAACTAAAGATCACGCCTTTAGATTTCTCTGTGACAAAAGAGTGTAATTGTGAGACTAGTAGCAACTCTATGAAATAGGCAAAGGGGACACTACTTATTATTCCAATTATACACAGGAGGAATGAGCTAGGAGAGGTTAGAGTACTGAGCAGTCACAGAGTAAGCTCCAGAGCCAACTTTTGAAGTTAAACAGAGCAACCTCTTTACCTGATAGGCTGCTTCTGATCCTAGCTCCTGCCTGATTAGAAGAGAATCACAGGAATGATTCATCTGTAGAAGGTGATTTTGTGCCTGCCAGAAACAGAGTGAGGAATCTCTGGTTCTTCAGTGTTTCTGTTTTAGTTCCAATGGAAATGAGCACCAAGGAGTGAAAGTGTGTGTGTGGATTTTGTTTTGTTTTGTTTAGGGAATTGAACCCAGGGCCACTGAACCACTGAGCTACATCCCCAGTCCTATTTATTTATTGTTTATTTATATTAATTTTGAGACAGGTCTCACTAAGTTGCTTAGGACTTTTAAAGTTGCTGAGGCTGGCCTTGAACCTGGGATCTCTTTCTTCAGCCTCCTAAATTGCTGAGATTACAACCATGTGCCATCATGCCCAGCTAGGGTGTTGATTTTTTAGCACAATGAATGATGAAGCCCTTATGGAGTGTGAAACTAAAGTAGTAGATTCATTTCAAAGAAGGAGCATAAAATGGAGAATAAAATGAGGATACATCATACAAACATTGGAAGAAAGTACTGTTTGGTGGAGCTTTCATTTCTGTCATGTGTATATAATTCATATGTGTTCATTCACATATATAATGCACATACATGAATATTTTTGTGTGTTGGGTTAAAATGTAAAATATAATTTTTAGAGTGGGTCTAAAAGTTGAAATCTACTGTCTTAGATCATTTTATATTAGAGATAAAGAGACAGGTGTTTTCTGGAGACACACCAGATAGAACAGAAAAGGCCTCCTTAGAGTGAAAGTACTTTATAAATACCTGGACTATTTCCTTCATAGATGAAGAACTCTCCATGGAAATGATGTGATGGGTTCAGGACCACACCAAAAGAAATCAATCCGTTTGTGATTTTTTTTGTGTGTGTGGGAACTGTTTCCTGTCTATGTGTAAGATCCCTGAAATTGTGTTCAGTTATTTCCTTTGTGACTTTGGACAAATATGATGGAAATTACTGCATATGACTTCTGAGGTGAGGTCATAAAAGGTATTGTGGCTTCCTGGGGCACTCGGAGAGACTCCAGCTGCTATGCTGGGAGGACACTCAAACTGTCTTTTGGAGAAATTCATGTGCAAAGGTATTTTGAGGCCTTTTGCCACCCACAATGTGAGTAAATCATCTTGGGAACAGATGCTTCAGGTCCCAGTCAAGCTTCAGATAACTACAATCCCATTGTAGTTACATACTTCGTGAGAGATCCTGAGTCAGAAACACCCAGCTAAGCAGCTCCAGGATTGCTGGCCCTCAGAAAATAGAAGATAATAGATATTTATTGTTTTAAGCCACCAATTTTTGGGGGAAGTGTTACATGACAATAGATAACATTTAATATACCATTAAATGTCTCATTGTAGAAGGAATATTTTACATAGAGGAGAATGGTTATATTTTTACAATTGAGATTAATGGTACAATAAAAATCAACAGTAAACTACATTTCTATGTGGCTAATTTTTCTAAATCCAGAATCACTTAAGATCCTTAAATATTGTCAATACAAAAAATATTCACCACTCCTCCACAGGTGTTTACAAACAAAAACAAATTTTGTAAACGGTGGAAGGCTGTTTAATAAAGGTCTCATTTCCCCCATAATGACTATTCTAGTATTTTCTTTTGAAATAAAAAATTCTAAAAATCTCGTCTGGCCTCCTCCCCACCTCCCGTCCCCTCCTCACCCTCTCCTCCCTCCCTCCCTCTTTTCTATGTCTATGTTTCCATGTCTGTCTCTATCCATCTCTCTCCTCTTGCTTTGCTGACTCTACACATGTCTTCCTAAATGATGAGACTTCATTCACTGGTTTCATCCCGTTCAAAAAGTTAGCATTTGTCGGTTTAATTTATTAGGAGAGCATTGCTGCCACCTACTGTTAAAACTAAGGTTTAAAGAAGAATGCAAAGAACACAAAAACCTAAAATGTGATAACTTGGACTATGTTTTGGGTGCTGTTCAATGTGTTTCATAATCATTGTCTCAATGATCACACAATAAATGTTACAGCTAGCTTAGTGATAGGATTACAAAGAAGGAAAAACTGAGGCATCTTCAACATTAATGTTTTTTTTTTAATGTCACAGAATTTGAACCCAAGACTATCTGATTCTGACTTTTTTGCTCTCTCTCTCTCCACTACACTATGCATTCTCCAGAATGATTATTAGGGTGAGGTTTTAGGTAATTTACTTATAAATGCTTTTGAAATTGTCCTTTTCAAATATTCTGATGAATACGAATAGTTGGCCTAATTTCAAAAAACACTGTTTATATCTTTGAACTTTGTGTGCAAATCACAGAGGCAGCTTACTTTTTTCATGGCTCTTTCCGAATTTCTTTTAATAATGACACCAACTCCCTAAAATAATGACAAAGCATATATCTGCAAAAACTTCGAAATCATCAATAACAGCACTGAAAGCCCTAAATGTTCTCAACCCTTTTGTCTTAGCATCTGATTCTCTCGCTTCTCTGGCCATTCCTTCACTTGTTTCCCCTCTTCCCTTCCCTTAGATTTGTGTAGTAGTGGCACGAATCTCTCCTTCCTCTATTCATTCTACCTGAGTGCTTCAGTGGCTCTTTCTCACAAATGTAACGCACTTCTCTTTGGATCACTCCCAATCTGATTCTCTAGCCAGCCTTGGCTTCTTTCCTGAATTCATATCCTGCCTTTCCATCAGTTTAAGGGAACTTCCTACCTGACTATCCTGTTCTGATGAAAATTTCAACATCACCAAAATATAAGTCATCTCCAAGGCCCCAAGCCATCTCCTTTATCTTTCCTTATCTGAGAACAGCCCATGAGTCTTCCGTGAACCAGGCTTAGAATATCAGAGTCATTTTGAAAGCATATTACCATTACCTATTCCATGTCAGCGATCATTCTTAGCCTCTTCACATAACATCTGATCCTCACAGATTAGCAGGAAAGAAGGCGATAGTTTCCCCTAATACAGTTAAGGAAAAAGAGTTGAAAGGACTCTAAAAGGACTTGTTTATGATTACATAACTAGTAAATTGCAGAGCCAAATTTCAGCTAATTCCTGAGCTGCCTCATTTGGGATCTTTGGATTCCCCAGCCAGACTATAGTGCCTGCCCCATGAGATCTCATTACATTCTAAAAATAACACTTACCCTCCCACCCATTGTGTTTTTACCAGATGCAGTGGGTCTCCCTACCTTAACCATATTATTACCTGATCAGAAGAGAATAATGGTCCTCCTATTGTCCAGACTGCTCTACTCTCCACAGGGGCAAAATTATAATCTCTCAGGATCCCTCTTCCTTGGGAGGCAAAGCCAGTCAGAATCCATCATGCTGAGATAATGAATGTGGTGTGTGCTTTACAGCCTAGGATTCTTCCCAAACACCATCAGCATCCCTGGCTCCTCTCAAGCCAGCACTACCTATCCTGTATCTGCCATGGAGAGGCTTAACCTGACCACCAGATTTGAATTTGTCCATTTCCTATTCTTTTTTTTTAAGTTATGATGAACATGATATCTTTATTTTTATTTATTTATTTTTATGTGGTGCTGAGGATTGAACCCAGGGCCTCAAGCATGCAAGGCAAGCACTACCACTGAGCTACAACCCCAGCCAGCCATTTCCTATTCTTAGCATTAGTTCTAAAAATAGGAAGACAGGTCTATCTTTACACATCTTAATATATATGAGGCCCATTTGAGGTCTTATAATATTGTCCAGAAAAGTACAAACACACAGATTTATATGCTTTGGTACATTTGGAATTTTATTTTCATGCTAAATTGTAAGTTATTTTAAGAACATGTCATTAGCTTGAAACTGAAAGCATTTGGAAAATTGAGAGGAGATCTCCAGTTATTAATCAAATATTTTTAAACAAGTTATATTTTATTGACTTTTCAAACATATTTAAATGAACTCTTCTTGAGAAGGGAGAGCCCAGATGAAGAAGCCATGTGCTCTAATAAAAAGTCTAATTATGAGGGGATAGAGGTGGTTTAGCAGTAAAGCCTAGCATGCTGGAGGTCCTGAGTACAATCCATAGCACTGGGGGAAAAAAAAAAAGTACTGCAGCTACCCATGTGTTCTCTCTCTCATTACTCACTCTGTGGGATGCCAGCTGTTGTGTTGAGAAGTACTATAGAAAAGCCATAGAATGAGGAAATCCCTCTAGCCAACAGCCATATGAGTGAGCCATCTTAGGAGTAAACCCCCCTCCCCCCAGCTGGAGTCAAGCTTCAGATGGCTGCAGTCCTAGCCAACATCTTGACTGCAACCTCATGTGGACCCTGGGCCAGAACCATCTGCCCAGCAAAACTGCTCTCAGATTCCTCACCTACAGAAACAGTGAGATAAGATGGTTATTTTAAGTCACTAAATTGGAGTAATTTGTTATTGCCACAGATAAGGGACACAATCTGCTAGGTCACTCTTACACAAGGAAGAGATAAGGAGACAGAAGGGAAGATAGGAGATGAAGAGGAGTTGTGAGAAGAGGTGGGAAAAGATGGAGTGAGGCAAACCCAAAGGTTTTCCCTCTCTGAAAAACAGGATGAGTCTGGGGGCAACAGATTTAAAAAGTGGAACTTGGAAGCCAGACAGATGTTTGCTGTGGTCTGTGGTATAAACCTCTCTGTGTTTCCTGAGAAATTTTGAGTAAAGATCTGTATTGTTGTGGGTTTTGTTTTCTGCAGGATAGGGGAAGGAACCTAGGGCCTCACATATGCTAGGCAAAGCTCTACCACCGAGCTAAATCCTCAGTCCTTTATGCTTTTTATTTTGAGGCAGGATCTTGCTGTGTAGCCCAGAATGATCTCAAACTCACCATCCTTCTACCTGAACCTCCCAAGGAGCTAGGAATAGCTGGGAATATAGTTGTACCCCTCCATGCCCAGCTTCTATTGTTCTTTAGTAATTGTAATAATCCAACATTTTCCAGACCTTTAACCTGTGCTGTGGCTCATGAACCTCTTGTTTAAGTCACCCCGACTTCTCTCATCATCCTTTACTAGATGCCCAGTCTCTGGTGTTTCTCATGCCAGGGGAACCCTAGACAAAGATCTGGTCAATGAGACTTCAGAGGAAGCCTGCTGGGAGCTTCTGGGAATATCTGATTTCCTGCGGAGCACAGAAACACATGAGGTGAATTCTACTGAGAGGTTGTGTGAGGCCACAGTCTTTTGCTAATGAGGAGTGTAAGAGGAAAAGGTCTCAAGCAGAAGATGGCTGAGCGGAAGGATAGAAAGCACCTGGGCCCCTGGAGACATCATTGAGCTGTTGCAACAAACCTGGATTGCCTCAAGCCACCCTCCCTGTTAAGAGAGTAGGGAACAGTCTTTATTCTTACGCCACTCAAGCCATAGTTAGTATGATTTTCTGGTTTTTGTGGGAGAACCATTTCTAACTGATACATAAGATCAATATTCAATTAAAGATAGTGTTCTTCAATGGGGCAACATGATATATATTGACCTGAGACCCATTGCTAGAGTTTAAATTCTCCCTTCAGGCTGGAAGCCTCCAACCAGGTAGTTACCTCTATGCCTCAGTTTCTCACCAGAAGACACAGATGGTTGTATGTACATCATAGGATTTTTGTGATCATTAATTTAAATGCCTGTAAAGACCTACAAGAATGCCTTTCCAGCATTATATAGTGTTATGGTTTGGATATGAGGTGTCCCCTGAAAAGTTCATGTGTTAGGCAATGCTGAAATGTTCAGAGGTAAAATTATAAACACTGTATTTTCTAATCAGTGGATTAATCCATTTTATAAGTAATAGTGTGAGTGGACTCGACTCTACCCTGGTGGGTAACTATAGGCAGGTAGGGCATGACTGAAGGAAGTAGGTTACTAGGGACATAACCTTGGATTGTATCTCTCAGGCACTTTCTCTGATTCC